GGTTCAATGTAATTACCGTTAATCCGTTCTGGCGTCCGGGGACCACGCATCAGGGGCGGGAGAATGGCCGGGCACAGCGCAGCGGTAGAACAGCCGGGCGCGGCGGGAGAACGGCCAGGCGCCGCGCGGCGGGAGAACAGCCGGGCGCCACACTGTGCGGCGGGAAAATGGCCGTGGACCACGTGTCGGGTGGAAAAATGGCCGCGGACCACGTGTCAGGGCGGAAAAATGGCCATACCCTGAGGCGGAGTTCGCACATCGAGGTAAATTTTTGCGGCCGGAGCTGGTTGTTACCCGAAAAGTTCGTTAGTAGAGGCGTTCGTATCCCGAGGTACCACCGTATTGCCTTTTGGACTTTCTTTTTTCATGATTCTTTAACAGCTTCAGTTAATAGCTTTGGTTAACACAGTAAAGAAACAGAACAAACAAGCATCAGATACAAATGATCCCAGATCAATTCTGATTATATAATCAAACTACAATAGCAATAACTTTAAAGGAAATCTATCAAGATTAGCATTAATGCTGTAAAAAGTTCACTTATTATGATTTCTTATGATGAAGTGGCCTCTTGTAGCTAAAGAGAATAAAACAGTCTGAAAAACAGAACAAGTTCTGACAGCATGATGGTGGACTAGCATGGAGGAAAAACCTCTAGTTAAGAATAACTAAGAAAAACCTCCAGATGGAATGGAGTACCTGTAAAACAAAATTCTATAAAACATTTTTTCAGTCTGTAAACTGAAGAGGGAGTTATTTTAGTACTTGAGAATATGAACGAGGTCTTATAATTATAAGACTATAATTATAAACTATTAACTTTTTAGGGAAGGTTGTTGAGAAGGTAGTCAGGCTACAGCTTCAGAGAGTCCCAGAGGAATTGGATTATCTGGACATCTTTAAGTTGGATTTCAGGCCAGGACATAGTACAGCAATGGTACTGGTTATGTTTGTGGATGACATGTGATTGTCTTGGCTCTTGATCTCATAGTATACCCAGTTTGTATATTATGATCCCAGGCTACCAAGTGATGCTATCGAGGTCTTGTCCCAGTGTTTGGAGGCTGTGAGGGTCTGGATGGGGAGGAAGACAGTCAAGCTTAACCCTAGCAAGACCAAGTGGCTGTGAGTGTCTGGACCACTCAGAATTGGAGATTGTCCACCTGTAGTCCTGAATGGGGTTTCACTTCTCTATTTTGGACTTATGCACAATTTGGGTTTTAGCTCCTGCTTGAGAAGAAGGGGCCAGCTGTAGCCAAGAAACCTTCACACAGATTCATCTTGTGTACCAGTTGTACCTGTTTCTGGACTGGGAGGCTCTCTGGACAGATTCATGTTTTAATCATCTTATATGTGGATTATTTTAATATAACTCAACATGGGGCTGCTCTTAAAGTTTACTCAGAAGCTGCAGCTGATCCAGAATGCAATGGCATGGGAAGTTATGAGCACCCCACAGTATGACCATGTAATTCCTCTGCTCCATGAGTGGACTGGTTACTCATAGGCTTTTGGGTACAATTCACGGTACCAGTTATCAGCCATAAAGCTCTTTGTGGCATAAGGCCTGGCTGTCTGAAGGACCATCTGCAGTGTTTGCCTGCCCTGTTTGATCCAAAAGAGTTTGCATGCTTCAGATCCCATCAGTTGAACACTATTACCTGATTGGACTCAGGAAGGGAGCCTTCTCTATTTGCAGTACCTTTTCCCTGGGACACTATCCCCACAGAAATTTGAATGGCCCCTATCTTGGCCTCATTCAAACAAGCCTTACGTCTGGCTCTTCCCCCAGGCTTTGGATTAGGTCAGGTGGTGAGAGTGTTATATGGTGAGAGGGCACTGGGTTTTACTCCTTATGGATGGTTCACCATCTTTGCCTTATTGTTGCTGTTAATTTTGTTCTTAATATTGTATGGCATCCAGAGTCACTATGGAGTTGGGTAGCCTTATGAAATTAAAATTTTAAAATCTAGTAGTAAGAAGAAAAGAATGCTGATTCACCCAGGAAATTCACTATGTTTACCTAGCAGTCATAAAATTCTATGGTTTAGAGGGAGGTGGGGAACCATTTGATTTCTTATTTATATGATAATTTGTACTTTGTTATAGTTGTATATTTGAACCAGAAGGAAATGCGTGCAGTCTGACAGACAGCACAGCCGAAGAACATGTCCTGGCCTTGGTAGAGCATGCAGCAGATGAAGCACGGGATCGGATCAATCAGTGTCTCCCAAACAGCAAGGTCTTGTCAAATTGATTCATGCTGTCATTTTATAGACATTTTATTTGGCTAATTTTCTCAGTTGGACAAGAAATTTTACATAGTGTCTGGTATGTGAATATATATATATATTCAAATTTGTCACCACCCATTTCATTAAAAAGTGACTGGGCAGTTTATAGAAGAGATGCATTCAATTAAAATACAATATAAAACCATCTTAAATAATTAATAAATAAATTCCAAAGGATGATAAAATTGGCAAACAGCTCAAGGAGTGTTGTCAGGGCACCAGCCACCCCCAGGATTGATTACAACTTCTGTCACCCCATGCAAGCTGACAGAGCCAGGTCTTCAGTCCTTTCTGGAAAACCGGGAGGGTAGGGGCCCGCTGCACCTCTGGGGGGAGAATATTCCAAAGGGCAAGACAGTGGCAGAGAAGGCTCTCTTCCTGGCCCTGCCAGCCAACATTCTCTCGTTGACAAGGTCCGCAACATGCCCTGTCTGCCTGACCAAGGTGGGACAGGTTGATGTAATGGGGGTGAGACAGTCCCTCAGATAACCTGGATCCGTGCCATGTAGGCCTTTAAAGGTGATAATGAGCACCTTGAATTGGACCTAGAAGCAAACTGGCACCCAATGCAGCTCCCATAGCAGAGGTGTTATATGTGCCATCCTTGGGGCACCCATGATTGTCCACGCGGCTGCATTTTGAACCAACGGTAGCTTCTGGATACTCTTCAAGAGTAGCCCCATGTAGAGCACATTGCAGTAGTCTAACCAAGAAATGACCAGAGCGTGAGTGACTGACTGGACAGCCTCTCGTATGATGGTTTTTTTGGATGTAAAATCTCTAGAATAAAGATTAAAATTATACTGTACATGATTTAGACTTCAGTTTGAATATAAGTAGAAATTAAATGACATGTTCCTAAGATTCTGTCCCAATGAAAATCTTCCTAAAAATATGTTAATGTTGCTTATGACAGTACTCTAAATTGACAAGATTGTATCATACAGTATAGCCCAACTAGAAGAGTTGAAGTTAAAAGTCGATGAACAATACCAGCTGATTGTGTTAACCCAGAATCTAAATGTGTATATGAGATAATTCCATTGCTTCTTGTTTTATTCTAAATACAAATGCACTGTCTGTTTTTAGAGCAACACAGAAAATTATGGACTCCTTGGAGTTCTCTGAGCTTGATTCTTTTCTTGCAAATGTTTCATTACCCCACTAGGTAACATCTTCAGTGCTAAAATGGGATGGGGTTTGCTCTCTATTTATATACTGTGGTATGCCTTGCCAGTGCTGGTGGGGGTGGGGGTTTTTATTTATCTTAATTGAGATTGGATTTCCCTTGCATGAATGGCTCCCCCCCTTCTTTGCA